TACCTCAGTTTTTTGGATTTTTTTTAGTTGGGGCTCACTCTGTCGCCCAGGAAGGAATGCAGTGGCATGATCACAGCTCACCACAGCCTTGACCTCTTGGGCTCAAGAGATCCTTGCCGCCTCAGCCTTCAGAGTAGGTGGGACTACAGGTGCCCACTGCCACATCCGGCTAATTTTTTTATTTTTTGTAGAGACAAGTTCTTCCTGTGTTGCCCAGACTGGTCTCGAACTCCTGAGCTCAAGCAATCTGCCCGCCTTGGCCTCCCAAAGTGCTGGGATGACAGGGAGCTCAAGCAATCTGCCCGCCTTGGCCTCCCAAAGTGCTGGGATGACAGGCATGAGGCACCACGCCTACCCGACCTGGACTCACCATTTGGCTTCTTGCCGGCCCCCCTTGATAATAGACAGGCTCCTGCAGAGGAAGGTCAGGTTCAGATGAACATTTCTTAGAATATGTCAGGTTTCAAATATCCTTCTTGTCGTGCATAGTGGTAAAAGATCATGAACAAACATAATTATTAGAGTGTACAATTTTGAAAACTTTAATACCTGTGCAAACATCAATAAGGTTCAGGAGCCTGAGATAATCCTTTTCAGTAGAACATTATGCAGAAATTAAAAGTGAGGTTTATATGAGGATAACACTGTTGAAAAATACATACTTACAGTATAATTACAATCATTTAAAAATTTCTTAGATGAATGGCAATGTACAAAAATGTTGCTTATATTCGAGTAGCAGAACCAGGAATAATGTTTGAGCATGTTTCTTTCTACCTTTCTGTGTTTTCCAAACATTCTCTCCTCTCTTTCTCCCTCCCTCCCTCTCTTCCTTCCTCTTTTCCTTCCATTCTTCCTCCTTCCCCTCTTTCTTTATATTTACTGAGTACTCTTCTGTGTTAAGACCTCTTTCCAGTCCTGGGAACCATCTGTAAACAATGTAGACATCAATTCCAAACCTGGTTTTGTGGCAGGTTGGGGAATGAATTGGAGAGGAGGAGCCTGAGGTGGAGGACCAGGTGGGAGGCAATGATGCCAATGTAGGTCGAAGATGCTGCAAGTGAGGACTTTCAACCCGTGGCTCTGGGCCCCTCTTCTCCTCACACAAGTTTTTCTGAGTCCCCTCAGCTTCTTGCCTTTCATTCAGGCCTCTGCTCGAAGGCCACAGTGCAGAAAGGAGTTCGCTAACTACCATCTCCCTAGCTCTGTTATCTTGCCCTGTGTTTTAAAAAACACTTATCCCTACCTGACATCAAAGGGGGAATTTAGGCATGTTTATCTTATTTGTTTATTGTCTGTCTTCCTTCCCTAGAATGTAAGCATGAGATTTGAGGGTTTTTTGGTGGGGGGGGTCTTTAATAAAGAATATTTATTGGTTTTAATAACTGCCATGAGCCCAGCCCTTTACAACAGGGGTCCCCAATCCCTGGTCCATGGATGGGTACCAGTGGGTGGCCTGTTAGGGACCGGGCAGCACACAGCAAGGGGTGAGTGGACAGCGAACGAAGTTCTGCTTTCTTTCAGATGGGCAGCGGCATAAGTTTCTCATAGGAGCTCGTGCCATATTGTGAATTGTGCATGCACGGGACCTTGGTTGCGCTCCTTATAATGAATCTAACGCCTGATGATCACCTCCCTGACCCGAAACCCCCACCTCTCGCCCCTCACCCCCGGTCATGGAAAAATTGTCTTCCACAAATCTGGCCCTTGATGCCAAAAATGAAAGGAACCATCAGTTGGAGTTGACCTGGGTCCCGTCCTGCTCTGTCACTTCCCAGCTGTGTGATTTTGGGCACATCCTTTCACCCCTCAGACCCTCAAGGTCCTCACTAAAATTGGGTTCCTATTTCCCTTTTTGTTGGGGATGGGGCTTATGTACTTAGTGATGGTTTTTGCCAGAGTAACACTGCAGTGCCTCTAGAGAACATGCGTTAGGAGCCATCACTGTACACAGAAAACACAACTATAGACCTGGGGGCGGGGGGGAGGGGTCTCTTTCCCTTAGAACAATCATGAATACCTTGGGAGCAAATGTCACTTTGATCTTGTTCAACGACCAGTTGCTCAAGACCATCTTTTCTTTTTCTGACGTTGCAGACTTTTGCAGTTTACTCTCACCTGCAGCCAGGGTATATGTCTCACTGATGTCTCACTGATGATGTGCACTGACCCCTGTCCTTATAGCTCCACAACCTGTCCCCTCACCACTGGGGCAAAGCCATTGCAACTCTTCTCTTCCATATCTCTACTGTTTCTGAGCTACTCTTGAAAATATTTACTATACTTTTCTTGTGGTAAAACACACATAACCAAATTTACCATCTTAACCATTCTTAAGTATACAGTTCAGTGATATTGAGTACATTCGTAATGTTGTATAACCATTACCACCATCCACCTCCACAACTCTTTGTGTCTCATAAAACCAAAACTCTGTCCCCGTGCCTGTTATTGGGAAGTATGTCCCGCAAAGACACAGCAGGGTTTCAACCAACATTACCCAAATGACGGAATAAGTGATTCCTAAATCTATCCCCTTAGCTTTGACCCCTTGCCTGAGTTCCGGATCTGTACTTCCCATGCTGACTAACCCTCTAAAAATGTGTCCCGAGGATACTTTGAGCTCCAGATGTCCTGAGCTTCTTCTCCCCAGCCTCTTTCCCCAGCTGGGTCTACTTCACATCTTGTGAAGGCCTCTTGGTTGAAGTCATTGACGTCTCTCAAGTCCCCAGCCCTGCCCCTGGCTTCCATTGCCACCACATCCTGCTCACCTGGTTCCCGAGGAAAGAGCAGAAGGAAAGTGAGTATCACCAGGGTTTCCTGTGAAGTCTTTACATGGAAGGATTTAGGCGTACAGGAGTCATACTGGAGTAGGTGTGCTGTGATGGTCCAGTAGGGGCCGATTTCCAGGCCTTGGGGACTCAGTGTGGTGCTTGGACCAGAGAGAGAGGTCATCTGATAGATGACTTTCTTTCCATTTGTTGATATTCTAATATGTTTGCTTGTACAGTTTTGCTGATTAACGGAGTACATATTCTTCTCTTAGGGTTTTCTTGCCTGATCTTTATGCTGAACTACCACATTCCCCTGTAGCTGATGAGGCATGCTTACCTCTGCCAAGTAGGAAAAGGCATGCACGACTTCCATCATTCTCCCTGTGGTGAGAGAGGAATGGAATGGCTGTAAGAGTATTCTGTGTATTTATTACTGATGATGTGTTTTGAGTAATACTATTTTGAGGGGAGGGGGAAAATAGTAATTTACTTTTGGGGATCAACTATAAATCTTAATTTTATTCCATTTAATGTATTTAAAACAAGAAGCAGACAAGTTTACTTTTTAAAAAAATAATATAGCCTTTGAATTGACTTAATTGATGTTGTTTTTTTTTTTTTTTGCAACGTGTCTTCTCCATCTCTATGAGAAATAAGCCAAAGGAAGGGCCTGGTGTTCACTGAAGTCGTATTAAGCCCCACACGCTTCCAAATTACAAGGCAATTTCGTTACCGTGGCACGATTGCAACTCTAAGATTCGTATTCCAGCTTTCAAGGAGCTTATAGTGCTACCAGCACTATAAGATGATATTGCTAATACAAGTCGCATATATTCACAAGATGTTAGAGGACTTATTCCTGTGCATCCTCATCGGGTCCCTTGCTGCTGGCTCTCCCTCCTCCAGCCAACTGAACCACTGACCCTACTTTTGTGCGGTAAAAGCAGACATGAAAGGAACCGTGGAAGACTGTTCTGTAGCCGGCGCGTTCCCTTCTCATGCCTGCGAGGTCACGATCAGTCTTGTTTAGACTTGCACCCTTGCTTGCATCGAGTAAAGTCGTTATAGCGGAAGGAGGCTAGGCCCTAGACGCGTCGAGCGCTGCCTTCAGCGCACCGAACGCGTCTCCACCCTAGAAGTGCGGAAGGGGGCTGAGCTCCAGGGCGCGGTCGAGGCGCCCCTGCAGGGGGCGTGGCTTGGAGGGGCGTGGCCTGGCGGGCGGCACGGCTCTTTCTCTAAGGATCCGAGTTAGGCGAGGCGGGGCGGGGCGGC